GCCTCTGGGTCCGTGTCCCGCAGCGCAAGACCCGAACACGAGCGGATCAGAAGAGGAACGCGACGGGCGCAACGACGGGCTCCCCCAAGTGCACCTCCATGCCAGGCACGAGCCCCACGGCCGAGTAGACGACGGACCACGCCACGGCTGGCAAAGAGTACACGAGCGTCACTGCTGGCTGCAGGACGCCTCATCCTTCGTCTCCTCAGTCACGGGCCATCCTTCACGCTCCAGCCTGGCAAGCTTCCACTTGAACGGCTGTGGATATAGTTTGCGCCTCCTCGTTATCCGCTTGGCGTTGATGGTTCCGACTGTCTGGGCGTGCATCTGCTGGACCACCGCCAGATCCGCATCCGTGGCGCTGACACCAGCCTCAGCCGCCCCACCCTCAGCATACAACGCCGCGGCCCCGCTCCGACTCGCCGCTCTCTGCATCCGAAGGCACCTCCGTGTCGGAGGCGGGATCGGGCACAACCGTGCCCTCCACGCTGAAAACCTCGTCGCCGGCCTCTCCGAAGCTGCCCTCGGCGCGGAGCACGCCCTGCTGCTCCACGGGTTCCTGCGCGCTGCCGCCCGCGTTGGCCTCGACTACTGCCGCCACCGTGTCGCAACACGCGGAGAAGAGCCTCGCGCCGCACGTGCACAGGGCCCCCAGAAACACTCCGTCGGGCTCCTCCGCGGACTCGAGGCAGACATGTGGGACGAAGACTGGCGCGTCTACGTTATCAGGAAACACCAATCGTACCTGACCGCCGTCGCCATCGCCACGCGGCTCGTGTCGAGCCTTGTCGCCTGCCACCTTGACGGCCTTCGCCTCTGTGATCTCCGCCTCGGGGAGCTTCACGACGATGGACGCGAGCTCCCGAAGTGCGTCGCCCAGGCGATGACAGTGGTGCCCGAGCTCTGCGTCAAGCCGCCAATGAAGTAGGAGGGCCTGACCCAGGGCAGCAAGCCGCACGCGCAACTCGCTCACGATGTCGCTGTCCATGCCGCTGCCGATGTCATCCATGGCTTTGTCCACTGCACTGCTGACCGTCATGTTGTTGGCGGAGCGCGCACGCTCCTGACGCAGGCGGCGAGCCAGGTTGCTGGCCGACTGCCTCGCCCAGGCCTGGCCTCGGCGCCCACCTCCAGACGCTTGTTCGGGCCCACGGCCCCGCAGGTCTCCCGCAGCCATTCCCCGAACGCACCCGGCAACCGGCGCCATGAGCTAGCACATAGAGCCAAAATGTTGGGGCGCACGGACCGGCTTGAGCCAAATGGCTACGGATCTCCTCCTCCTCCTCCTCCTCCTCCTCCTCCTCCTCCTCCTCCTCCTCCTCCCCCTCCCCCTCTTCCTCCTCCTTCTCCTCCTCCTCCTCCTCCTCCTCCTCCTCCTCCTCTTCCTTCTCCCCCTTGTCCTCGTCCTCGTCCTTCCCCTCCCCTACCCTATTGACCCCCCCTCCCCTTCCCACTCCCCTTTCCCTCCCCCTTTTCCTCTGTCTCTCCTGCTCCCTCCGCTCCTCCTCCTCCTCGTCCTCCTCCCTCCTCGTCCTCCTCCTCCCTCCTCCTCCTCCCTCCTCCCTCCTCCCTCCTCCCGTACCTCCCTCCTCCCTCCCTCCCTCCTCCCTCTCCCTCCCTCCTGCCTCCTCCTCCTCCTCCTCCTCCTCCTCCCCTCCTCCTCCTCCTCCTCCTCCTCACTCCTCCTCCGCCTCCCTTCTTCTTCTTCTTCTTCCTTCTTCTTCCTCCTCCTCACTCCTCCCCTCTTTTCTCTCCGCCTCCCTCCTCTCCCCCTCCCCCCTCCCCCTCGCCCCTCCTTCCTCCTCCTCCCCTCCTCCTCCTCCTCCTCCTCTCCTCCTCCTCCTCCTCCTCCTCCTCTTCCTCCTCCTATTCATCCTCCTCCTCCTTCTGCCCCCCATCCTGTTCCATCCCTTTTCGGTATACATACGTACCTCCTCCCTGTCGCACGCCGAGGCCTTCGGAAAGGTGGGCTGCGCGTTTCGCTTGAGGTTTCCTTGCAACGTGTGACCCTGAAACTTAGACAATGGCAGCAATTTCATAGATGGTGGGCGGGCCGCTTCCAAAATGTGGTTCTCACCTTAGCACCGCGGGCACTCGTCTTAAACATTGCAAGGATTTCACGGCTTGAGGGCGGGCGCTTTTCAACATGTGGTTCTCGCCTGAGCGCCGCGCACGTTTGTCTAAACACACTGCAAGAGGTTCACACAAGGAGGGCGGTTCCTTTTCAACATGCGGTTCTCACCTTAGCGCCGGGCGCGTTCGTCTTAACGCATTGCAAGAGTTTCCTATAATCTCATGGTTGATGTACCAAAAACAACGTGGTGGAACGACTCAAGATTGTTAAGGCGCAACCGTTACGTTGATTCGCGGTGCTGAAGTCCCAGGAATGGCATTCTGCCACGGTTCATGATCGCCAATACACTCCAGTCTTGTTGATCGTGACGCCGAAGCCCCGACCATACTGTTTTGGCACTTCGGGATCTTCAAACGATTGTCCCCCAACGGGGCACTTCCCTCAGTGGAAATGAACCTTTGTAGGGGCCTGTGAAGGAGAGAGCTTGAATGGAGGGTTTGCTCCAACATCGTTGATGAGTTTTTGCTTTACCACCCCCCAGGCGTCAATCAAGGGGTCTTCCAGCACAGTGCCCCGGGCGTAGACCCATGCTGATGGGGGATGCCGGGCGGTTGCTGCCCATTGCCGCAATGTGGCCTCCTGCTCTGCGTCTGCGTTGAGGAAACGCAAGAGGGCCTGCCAAGACTGCGCGGGGGTGATCTGCCCAGAGGACCTGGGCGCGGCGCCTCAGGAGGACGCAGAGCGGGCGGCCTGCGTTGGCGGCGCGGGGGGGCGGATGAAGGGCGCGGGCAGGATCCGTGCGAGGCGGGGCTCTTGTAGGACGAGAGGAGCTGTAGGGGCGCGACTGGCGGGGGCTGGCCTCGCCCAGCGAGGGGGGGGGCGTGCCCCGCGAGGACCTCTTAAGATTCGGCGGAAGCGCAGCTCTGAAAGTTCCCGGGAGATGGGGCGGGCCGAACCCAGTGGGGGGTGGTGCCGGAGTCGCAGCGAGCGCTTTGCCCTCGGGGACGGCTTGCGGATTGGCGACCGCACTGGGCGCCCAGCCATGGGCCTGGCGGGGGGCTGGATACCGCCACTGCAGGGCCCAGCGGGGCGGACGTGTAGGCCACCGCAGGGTGCCGACCGGGGGTGGGCCCCCAGCTCCCTCCCGCTGCGCGCGGGCCCCGCGCGCGAGCCCCTCCAGAGGCGCTTGCTGCTCGGCTGCCTGTGGCACTGTTGCGCAGGGGCTGATGAACCTCGTGACTTGGCAATGAGGCACCAGAAAAGGAGGTCGTGGCCTCGCTCCTCGTCGAGCAAAGGGCGCCGGCCGGTTGCTGCTGGCGCCGCGCCGAGGGGCCACTTGACAGCCCAGTCGCAGGCGGAGCGGCGGGGGGTCCAGCCACGACGGCCCCGCGCGCGCATCAGCCAGGCCGTCTACGACGCCCTCGCTCGCTGCAGTACGAAAAGCAACCCGGTCTTCAGCCAGGGGCGCGGGCAGCCTGGGGCCCTCAACGACGGGCGAGCGCTGCGGACTGCCGCCCGTCGCCGCCGCGCAGGCGGCCTCGCGGCTGCTGTCGCCCAGGGGCGGTCCGCGGACGCGGGTTGCCCTCTCGGCTGTTCCCCCGCCCTCGTCGGGGGGGGGCTCGCCGCGTCGCCGCGACAAGCGCTAGGGCGCGGCGAGGGCGCGGGGGGGCGCTGGCCACCCGCTGGGGCTTCGCCAAGATAGCCAGCGTGCCAACCGCGGCAAGGGGGGGGGTTCGGGGGGGGGGGCCTTCGGCGGGGGAGCCCACGTGTGCCAATCGACTTTTCGAATCCCAACTGAGGTCGAGAATCTGCATGGGGCGGCCGCGGGGCGGCCAGATTCTGAGCGGTGGGCGCGAGAGGCCCGCTGTGCCAATCGACTTTTCGAATCCCAACTGAGGTCGAGAATCTGCATGGGGCGGCCGCGGGGCGGCCAGATTCTGAGCGGTGGGCGCGAGAGGCCCGCTTGCCTTCGCCGTCTGTTGGCGCCGGTTTGGAAGGGGGGTCCGCTTCGCGCCGCCGCCGGGGGCGGCGCTCGGAGTCGGCCCAGCAGCAGCGCCGCGCGGAGGGCCGGCGCCAGGCGAGGCGACTTCTGTCCCGGAGCCTGGGAAGGCCCCTGCCGCGGGGTAGTCGCTGTCCTGCGCGGCCCCAGGGGGGGGGGGCCGGCAGGGGCCCGCTCGGTGCAATGCGAAGGGGGGCGCATTGGCTGCCGCGCCGGGCAGGGGAGCAGCGCCCCCTGGGGGGGGCGCCACTTGCCGCGCCCACGTGCGCGCCAGTAGTCGGAGCAGGGCCCCTGGGAGAAGCGCCCGTGGCCACTGCGGCCGCGCCCGCGCGACCGTCGTAGTCCGAGAGGGCACGCTGGTGGTTGCCGAGGGCTGGGTAACTAAACGCCCCGATTGCGCGGGGGGGGGCGGATGCAGGCAAAATCGCATTCGCCCTCCGCGGAAGCATCCTCCTCCTCTCCTTCCTCCTCCTTCTCCTCCTCCTCCTCCTCCTCCTCCTCCTCCTGCCCCTCCTCCTCCCCCTCTTCTTCCTCCTCCTCCTCCTTCTTCCGTTTCCTTCTTCCATCGAATTCTCGACGTTGCTAACTGGCCGCGAGTTGGATATCTTTCAAGAGCGCAACCTCGTCTTGTGTGTGTGCACTCTGCAAGGTGCTCAATGGCGCCAGCGCTCTCGCGCTGCTGTCGGCCCTAGGTTGGCCAACGCGCGCCTGGCGGCTCCTCCGCGGCGCAGGCTGCAGGGCTCGCGCTGGTCCTGGTCGGCGCCAGCGCTGCCTGGCAGACGGCGCAAGGCCCGCGCCTCCGCGCGGAAGCA